TTTCTCAGCAATAGTTTTTATGCCATTATATTGCAAATTCACTGAATGTATTTTTGTTTTAATACAGTAGTTAATATCATAAATAAAAAAAAAATGTAATGTCCCAATACTTCCATTGATGTCCTATACTGCATATCTTCGATACAAATACGACATCCTGGAAAAAGCACACAACCATTATTTCTCAGCCGACATACTAAGAGCCCTAAACACAACTAACTACCCATTATACAGGATAATATGCAGTTATAATGCTCCCGATCTCGAAACGTACCTTACATTCAAAATCCATATAATGAAATTGAGATGTGTCAGTCAATTAAGAGTTGCGGACTCAGAACAAATCAGAATCTATGCAAAAAACAGAACTTTTTCGATCGAATCTCAAGAAACTCTTTCACTGCCCAGCATACAATGACTATAGACAAAAATTCCTTCAAAACTTCATATCAGAATCATCTGATAACCACAACATCGAAACCCTATTGAATATCGATTGTATAGATAAGTTAAATAAAGTTTATTATTATATGATGGGATTACACAAAGTGCATACACAAAACTGATCATAGCCCATGTTCTATTAAGTCTGTTTTTAGTTTATCTTAAATAAAATATTTTGTTTATATATATAAATATTTTTATTTTTTATTGTTTCTACCACAGTAACAGATTCATATTTGAATGCAGATAAAACCAAGGCTATTCTCATCGGGTACAGACATCTCATCAGCTCCCTTCCTTACTTTCCTCTACTTAACCTCAATAACCGTCCCATCCCTTTTTACCCTACAGTCGAAAACCTTGGAGTAACCTTTGACCAGAACCTCTCCTGGAATAACCGTATCTCCCAGATCACCCGAAAATCCATAACTGCCCTTAAACAACTCCTAAGATTCCATGATTGTATTCCTCTGAAAACCAGACAGCTACTTGTATTCCCCAACTTCGACTACGGCTGTTTGGTGTATGGAGGGCTATCTGCCAGGCTGGAAATGAGACTAAAGAGACTCATGAATTGTTTCATAAGATACATCTTCGGGATCCCCAGGCGTTCACATGTTTTACTCTGGTACACCGTTTTGAAGAGGCTTTATCCTACTTCCCGACGCCAATTCCTCCTTGGTATTTTCCTTTTCCAAGTTATCAGACGCAAAAACCCTCCCTACATCCTGGAACTCCTTACTCTCATAGGTCTCAACCTATAGACTTATGTATTCCCTCCTATAAAACTTCCTCCTTCAGAAAATCCTTCGTCATGGAACTCACTTCTTACCTCCATGCGTCAATCCTCGTCCATAAATTTCTTCAAACAACTCCTGTTCCACCACCTACTCCACATTCAAACTTTCTCTAACATGTAAAATTACTTGCATCTATACAATGTTTAATTTCAATCTATTGCACAATTGAAATAACAATTAACAGTAAATTAGTTTGTATTTTTATTATGTAAGACTAAGACCCATAAATTTGTAACTCTGTTATTATTTTTAGGGGACAGTAGTACCAGAATAAAATTATTTTTTCATTCATTTTTCATTCATTCATTCATTTCATTCATATAACTATTATCATGCAGTAATCGTTTTTTGTTTTTTAATTGTGTTGTTATTTATGTTTTGTAAAACCCATTCTGTACGTAAAATATTGTAAATTTGATTTATTTTTAAATGATATGTACATAACTTGTAAAACCATATTATTGTACAATAGCCAAGCTAGGCTCTATTTGTATGGGGAATTCTCCCAAAACGAATAAATATCTATCTATCTACTGCATATCCGATTACTGTTCTTATTCCCGTAGAAGCAATGATACAACACTAAGTTGACTTATCGGCTGCGGCGATAAAAATCCCTCCTGGAGGGGACGCCGAAGGAATAGGAAGCGACAACATAACCGCCTTTGCTACATTAGCGACTGCATTGTTATTCGCCGTAGCCTGAATCTCATTTGGTATTCGCGCGGCTTCGACCCTGCCCGGGCACTCCGCGCTCAAATGGCCCATAATACAAATAAGGCAATTCCGAGAGAGTCGTATCCAGTCGTGAACATGTCCGTTCCAAGGAGAAATTTATTCCTATTCTACTTCAGTGTCGTATCGGAATCCTGTAGCCAATTCCTTTTCATATCCCATCACGGTTCTTTGCCCGAGTTTTATCGCTTTTATTTTCAAAACTACCATTTCAAAAAAAAAAAAAAAGGAAAAAAAGAAAGAATTATATGTTGAAAGAATGAAGTTTTGAACACGAATGAAATATCTCTAACGTTGACTGCTTAAATGAATTAGACAAATTTAATGAAAAAAAAATTATCGATGACTAAAACGTAATATAGTGAACGCATCAGTTATGGACTTTAAATGTTAATAATAAGCTTCCTTATTGATATAAAGGTTTAAGTTTTTTCTAGGTTGAAGAACAATGCCCTCTATTGACGAATGTATGAATAAAGTTCCTAACAGAAAATTTTAAAATTTCTATCATTGTTTTTATAGTGCTCTAGAGATCATTGTGTTTCATACCTTCCTACTGACATTTTTACTAAGAGTCAGTTGAACATTGTATATCTTATCTTTATAGTTAACAAAAAAAGAACTTTAGTTACGAATGTTAATTAATGTATATAACCTAACGAAAAATTTTAGAATTTTTCTGAGGTATGTCCATTACTGGTACCGATCACCTTTCCATTAGAACAATTGAATTTTGGGGTGTCCACCACTAGTGCAAAAAGTTTTTTTTTTAAATGTATTTTAAACCTCCACAAATGAATATTATTTCTTTTTTCCTGGGAAGTTGTCAATTTATTAAGTTGCTTGGCAATAATAACTTCCAATTATTAACAAACGAGTATATTTTTTAACATTACATGTTACAGTCTAGTTGACGTTTCGGGACCTTTTATTCCCATCTTCAGAACTGCAATTCCAATACTCTTGTGGATGCAAGGCTTAATTCTAATGATTATAATAATGTGCTCCATCGTCAATTTTCTAATTTATGTTCTAAATTTTACCATCTAGAGCAACATTCTCCTTTTGACCAATAATTGGGTTTCTGCCATAGTGGACTGTGGTAAAATGGTAATAGTGGTTTATGGTAAAATTTAGAACATAAATTAGAAAATTGACGATGGAGAACATTATTATAATCATTAGAATTAAGCCTTGCATCCACAAGAGTATTGGAATTGAAGTTCTGAAGATGGGAATAAAAGGTCCCGAAACGTCAACTAGACTGTAACATGTAATGTTAAAAAATATACTCGTTTGTTAATAATTGGAAGTTATTATTGCCAAGCAACTGAATATTATTTCAATTTTAAAGTGTTAAATTTGGGTAAATAGATGGAAAACTGAACAGTCAAAATTATTAGAAATAAAAAGAGACTGCAACGAAGTGGGCTAGTAGCACAAGAATATCCAGAAGAGAAGAAACCATATTGTGTAGAATACGAATAGGCCACTGCCTGTTTACTCACGGGTACCTTCTCAGAGGACTAGAAGCATCCACGTGCGAAAAGTTTGACAATAAACTGCAATCAGTAAAACACCTGTTAGTAGAGTGCAACGAGTTCAACAACATTCGGCAAAAATTGAAACTACCAACAGCAATAAAATAGATACTTAATAGAGACAAAATACTACAATATAGAAAACTAGCCGCCAATGACCCTCTAGGGTAGAGGCGATTACAAATAAAAAAAAGAAAAAAAAAGTGGTAAATAGAAAAAGGAGACCCTTTAAACAAAAAAAGGGAGAAATTTTAAATGTCAAACGGAGAAGTTTATAACTATAATAATTACGGCGATATAAGACAAAAAAGACAAAAATTTTCTTACCCTACTTGATATCTGAAAAACACCTTTATAAAGTAAAGATTAAAAAAAAAAAAAAAAAAAATTAAAAACCTATGCTTAGAGATCTATACGAGTATCTGTATGTAGTGGAAAAAAAGACTTCTTTGATATGTAATTTCCCTAAAATAGGAAACTTTTTAAATTCAACAATTTTTTTTTAAACTTTATTTCTCTACTCACACTAGTCAGAAATTGTCACAACCAGTGAGTTTGCTGTCCGGAATCAGAATACGGAGTAAGGCATTAATAAAACTGAGGGAATGGTATTAAGATCATTCATCCAGCTTCTTTTCAACTTCCTATGTATGTTACCGGGCATGTTGTTTGTGGGAATGCGTCATATTTCCTTGTAATTTATTGTAAAATCTTTTAAAATGTGTTCGTATCTGGTAAGTCTTTATGTTACTGACGTACCAGAGATTTTACCTCCCTCATGAGATCCCTGCTCCTCTCTCTTAAACATTCAGGACTATATTTATAACCCCCTCTCCCCTCCTCCTAAAAAAGAATAAAATTTTGTTTTAGGTCTTGTAGATCTAGGAGTTGTAGGTCTTGAAGATGATGCATGCTCCCGAAACACTGAATAAGAACTGTAATAAAGTTCATGAAATATTCAAAAGGGTTGGTTCTTATATACCAGTCTCTAAAGAAAAAAATAAACACTTTTTTAAAATAAAAAAATTATTAGGTTTCAATTTGCTCCATTTTAATACGAGACTGAAAAACTAGCTAGGAAATGATCTGGAATGAATCAACCACATATTCCTCTTGGCATAGATTCAGTTAAAAAAACTCTAAAGTGTACTAAAACAGAAATATGCCCAAAAAAATTGAAGTGAAGCTATGGGTTTCTGGAAGAAAATGGCAGGATCCCAAGAGACCTTCCTAGAGGGCAAACCGTGGCATACTTTAAAATGTTTACATGTTTCCTGTAGAAGGACCTCTTCCACATCGGTATAACATATATATAATCTTCTCTATAGTGTTCTTTAGAACTTGTGCTTTAGTTGAAATAGACAATCCCTTTGTTAGGAGAGCGAAATTATATTAGCTGCAAGATTACGCATAGTAGGCGTTATTCAGGTGCAAGGAAAAAAATCTTCCTTTTAATATTAAAATTTAATTAATTAGCAAACTGCATAGTCCAATATAGGAATACTCGAGGTAATACCAGGCAATTGCCAACAATACATACTTAACCTTTTGAGGTTAGCAATGTCATAAAGCTATGGAATAATATTGTAATTACATCCATAAGTTAAGAACCAGAATTTGATCATATCATCGTTTATTAAAGTCTTTGAAAAATGAATATAGTAGTTTATAAAAAAAAAAAAGACTAGATGAGATTTGCGAGAGAGGAGTGGAGTTGAACCTGACAAGGGTCGACCCAGCCCCTCGGATCCTCAGACTAGAGGGACCTAAGAAAAGAACTCCTGAGACCGAGCCCCGCCATACAGCCTAGATGGTGTAGACGTGTATGGTGAGGTTGTCCCTCTGCTATCTGCTCTGCCGCACCAAGGCCTCCGTCTCTTCGAGGATGCGGCCGCTGTCCCAGGAGTTGTCGCCGCGGTAGGCCGCAAGGATGCTGCGGACCTGCGGCTCGAGCCCCTCGGGGCCGGTGCTGGGGAGCACGTGCCGGACCAGGTCCTCTCCGGCCCTCAGGATGTTGGCTCGCTCGTTGTGTCCGCGGCATCGGCCTCCAGTGCAGAACACCCTGCCGTCATCTGGAACATATCACGCACCAATAAGTAAATCATCAATTAGGCATATGATAATCAAACAATTTTTTTTATTAATATAATATAATTATTAAAGTTTAGTAACTATAGAATGCCGACAACTTCAGTGGTATGAGGATATCTGTAGAATGAAGAAATAAACTACCAAAGAAGTGGATGGAAGCGAGGGCAACTGGCAGGAGACTAGTGCCTAACTTGCAAGACCTTGACCAGGTCTGGTAAAAAAAAATCGATTTTTTAAATAAAAATTAAGACAAAATAGTTACTGATACTTGACAATCTTAGTTAATACATGTAAATAATTGGTATAACCAATATAGTTTTGTACTTAACTCCTCTAATTTTTTATTCAGGCTTAGTTATTTTTCTCCTATCTAAAAAAATACAGCAACTGCGAGACTCTTGCGCAGGACCAAGACTCATCTCGGTCCCGCATTTGAACAACACTACAGGAGACCAATAGGCAGACTTAAAGATACCTGGAACATTTCCAAGGACTAACTCAGGAAAGATGAAAACCGTGGAAAGGATTGGCGTGAGATAGCGATGTGTGGTCAAAGTGGCTTGAGGCTTCTCCACGCTGAAATGCGAATAAGGAAGATGAAAAAGAAGTGGAGATCCTTCATCCAGCTCCTCTTCTGAACGGTGCATGTTATGTGTGTTGTGGCCATGTCATTGAATTGTTTGTGGTAATGGGTTCGTATGCGTTCATTAACAGTCACCATGAAATGTAATGAAAATAAAAAAATAATTTTATTGTGGGACTAAAGTCCCCTTAGCATAATACAAGAGTTTAAAAAAAATATACATCAGTTAGGTATATAGTATAGATATATACATAAAAATATACAGATATAGAAAAAAAAATACAGAGAGAAAAATAACTATCGAACTAAAATGTTTCTTATTATTTAACTGTTAATAACAATTGTATTTACATAACCTATGTATCGATTGTATAACATAAGCTTGCTGACATTCAAATGTGTAGTAGATAGTGGAATAAGAGTTGTTTGAAGGAATTTGTGGAGGTGGTTTGAGGTATGGAGAAAGGTAAGGAGTTCCAAAAGGTTGTAACACGAATAACGAAGGATTTGATGAAGGAAGTGGTCTATATGTTATAATATAAAGGTCTATAGGTTGAGATCTGACATTAAGAGAGTGGATAGAGTAAGGAGGATTTTTGGTTCTGAGGACTTGGAAATGGAAAACACCAAGAAGGAATTGTCGTCGGGAAGTATGAAAAAGCCACATCATGACACAAATCCTTTTTTAAACATTAACAAACAAAAAATGTAATGATAAAAAATATATGATATGATTATTATACATATATATATACACGAGTGTAACTCGTACATGTGGTAAAGTTCCTAAACTTAGCGCTGAACTCATCGGTGACATCTATTCGCCCAGTTTAGAACAATGAGCTCAGCGCTGAATTGTTACCTTGCCTCATGTATTGTTAACATTATTACTTTTAAAATTACTATACTTATACCATCTTCCAAGTATTAATATTCTTGTAACGTTTTATTCATAGATATGACATCGATGGTTACACTAATTTGAGTTAATTTCATATTTTTTTCTAATTTTGTTTTTAAATATTTTAACATACGATTTATATATAGTATTTCTACGATTTTTCTAGGAGCATAGGTACAGGGATTTACGATATTTAAAAAAAAAAATATGAGACTATTATTTATTATGGTGGATTGGTAACACTGGCATATTGCATCGCCACCTCAGTGTAACGTCAGCTGTGTACCGATGCGCTTCGTAACAATCACAGTAATTCAGACATATATATATAAATATATTGCTGTTAATAAGAACTTAAGAATTCAAAAATCTCTGAGATAGTAACGAGAAAGCTTCTAAATAATTACAAAATAAGGTACCGTAGAATTTAATAAACGCTTATTTTTAAATTAACCATACTTCAGTATATGACATTATAAAATTAATATGATGTACATAAATATTTAACAAATCTTCAATGACCTATTAGAAGAGAAAATAATGCAAATTAAAATATTCTCTAAGAAATCATTGTTTAAACTTTAGACCGTACGTGTTTGTGCAAGTTCGAAAATTGCACTTCGCCCTCACACGAGAGTCAGTTATGAACGAATTTTATTTATATTTTCGAATTTTATTTATTATATACGTCAGTTATAACGAAATTTATCTATTAATCGTTATTATTTATTTAATTTATTATTCGTTTTTAAAGATGCCAATCCCTAATGAATTAATACGTTTAAACTATCTGAGAAAGAAACAAAAATGTTTCTATACGTTTTAGAAATGAAGTACTGATAAAAATCCAAATAAATTATCATTTACAGTTTGATAAACCAATTGTTATTATCCATATATACCTGTATAACTTCAAGCATGTACATACATGTTTAAAATTTTTTGAGATGCGGAAGAAAATAATTAAAATTCTTTATTTTTATATATTATACTACTTAAAACATAAAAGTACCTTGATCCATCATTTACTAGTGTTAGTATTTGCTAAAATTTCAGGTTTGTACCTATAAACATCTTTCTATTTATTTCATTTTATTGATATATCTTAAATAAAACCGCATCTACAGATAAATCATAATTTTTAAACTATTAGAGGAATGAATTGGAATGTTTTTATGATGTTATTTATGTTATTCGGATACATTTTAAAATTTTGAATGTGTTACTGCCTATTAAATTACTAAATTATTGATATATGTATGTAGAATTATGAAAGTCAATTTTAAACGATTGTCCTGTAGTGTTAGAAAATAAATAAATTTATTTATTAAAACTTGGGACTCTAGGTGGCAGTTGCAATCGGAACAGGGTACTTCCAAGTGTAGTTCCTGCTCCGTAAAGATAAAGTATTCAATTATAACAGGTACTGTTCAAATTATTAAAAAAAAAACTGCTTCATAAATTAATTGATTCTTAATTTATGCACTGCAAGAATGAATATAAGTATTTAATAATTGTTCTATTATGTTTAAAAATAAATAAATTTCCTAATTTTAATATAACCCACTTATAACCACTCAGTGTAGTTGTAGTTCTGTACCGACACACTTCGCAATAATTGTTATAGCTCTTTGATATAAGAGAAATTCAACCGCATCTACAAATGAATAGTGATTTTTAAACTATTTAAGAAAGTAATGGAAAATTTATACTGCAATTCAGAAATAAGGTACTGTTCAAATTATAAAATAGATATTACTGCTTGCTAAATTAACGGATTCATAATTTTAATAGTATAAGCGTGGACTTAAATATTTAATAATTGTCCAATTATGTTTGCAAACAACTAAGTTTCTATATTTTCTTATATGTGCACTACTTTTAACATTTACCCAACACTTGTACTTCACTCTCAGTCTAGTCGTAGTTCTGTTAAAATTGCTATAGCTCTTTGATAAATCAAAAGTTCAACTTCATCTACAAATGAATAGTGACTTCTAAACTACAATATTTAAAAAAAGTAATGCAAATTACGCTGCAATTTGAGAATATGGTACTCCTGAAATTTGTTAAATTAACCAAATCTTCATATATACACTACATGCATGAATATAAATATTTAATAATTATCCAATGATGTCAGAAAATAAACTAAGTTTTAAATTTTAATATAGCCCCACTACTTTGAACATTGTACCCTACACTTGTACTTCGCCCTCAGCCTAGTCTTTGTTCTGTACTGACGCACTTCGCAATAATTGTTACAGCTCTTTGATAAATTAAATATATAACTGCATATACGGAAGAATATTGATTTTTAAACTTCTTAGAATACAATGGGAAGATTTCTCTAAAATTTAAAAATCAGGTATAGTTCAAATTGTAACATAAATGACGTTGCTTGTTAAATTAAATTAGTGACTTTTAAATTACTTAAGAAAGGAATGCTAATTGTGCTGCAATTTTGAAATAAGGTACTTCTCAAATTTTAAAAAAAATATTACTCTTGTACAATTAAACAAATCTTCATATATACACTACATGCATGAACAAAAATATTTAATAATTATCCAATTATGTTAGAAAATAAACAAATTATTAAATTTCAATATAGCCCCACTACTTTGAACATTGTACCCTACACTTGTACTTCCCCCTCAGGCTAGTCTTTGTTCTGTACCGACGCACTTCGCAATAATTGTTACAGCTCTTTGATAAATTAAATATATAACTGCATCTACGGAAGAATATTGATTTTTAAACTTTTTAGAATGTAATGGGAAGATTTTTCTAAAATTTAGAAATCAGGTATAGTTCAAATTGTAACATGAATGTTATTGCTTGTTAAATTAACCAATTAATGCATGCACGGAGTAAATTAAGTACAAGCACGGATATACATATTTAGTAATTTTCGTGTTGTCATGAAGAAATATTTATATATTTTTAGTTTATTATAACCCAACTGCTTCGATACTTCGAACTTACAATTAGTCTTGCCACAGTTATGTACCAATGCGATAACAAACTTTAATAATATTAATTTAATTAGTTATTGTTACTAAACTATCTCAATAATGATATAAAATTTTCAATAATTATAAAACAAGGTATTTAAATTTAAAAATTAGTAATACGGTCTAAATTGATATGTTTATACAAGCGTGTTTTACAAATATTTAACAATTTTAATTGATCTTTAAAAAATAAGTAATTTAACTTATGTTCTATATAATTTAAACTGCCACAGTTTTGTACGAACGCACTTCGCTGCATTTACTTAACTGCATCTACAAACGAATAATGATTTTTAAGCTGTTTAAGAAGATAATGGAAAATTTACGCTGCAGGTTAACAATACGATACTTTTAAAATTGTTAAGAAAATATTAATGCTAGTTAAATTAACCAATTCGCAATTTATGTAGAAGAAGAATGACATACATATTTAAAAATTGTCCTATTATGTTAAGAATAAATAAATTTATAAATTATAAA